AAATATCGTGGGCTGTGGGTGGAAGTCTCCTGAATCCCATAAGTTAGGAATAAATTATTCCGTTTCCTAAATGAAGCAGCGCAGTCCAATGCTGCTCCTAAATCAGGCTGCTGGTGAGAATTATTTATTCATTTGTATAGGTCCAGACTCAAGCTCAGGCAAATGAATACAAACTAAACTGTAGCAAAGGTTTACAAATTTCAACTTGCTCTAGGCATGGAAGAAAAGTTTTTGCTGTGGTTTCGAGGAGCAGGCAGGCTGGGGCCAGCACCCTGTGTGATGGAGATGGCACGAGGAGGTGGCGCAGGGGTGGAAACAGGGACAAATGCTCCTTTCTGCTGGAGCTGTGGTGAAGATGATCAAAAAATCCCAGGCTTTTAACTGCAGTGCCGCAGCTTCAGAGTAATTAAGGCTTGAGATCACCAGCTCTGCCTGTGCCTGCTGCAGCCCGGCTTGCACATCAAAAGATGTTTCCCATGAGGACAGGTCCCACGTCACTGCATTCAGGTTTTGACGAGCACTATGGGCTGGTGTGCAAGTGATAATCCAGAAAAGTCTCTTAAGAGCAGCTCATAGCGAGCAGGTGATAATGTGTCCCCCTCAGTGACTCTGTGGTGCCCTGTGTTTTGGGTGGCACAGGCTCATCTGAAGGCACTGTCCCTGGAGCAGGGGTAGAGCTCCGTGCGGCAGAGCAGACTCCCAGCTCCAAGGGCTGGGGCTCTGCGGGTATCGCGCGGCCACAGCTTCCCGTCCTGCTGGCACCTGGCCTCCTACCCAGGGAGGATTTATTCCTTCCTGAACAGGTCTCCAATGACGTTATTAATCAGGGAGATGGACGAGTACAACACAGTTTATTGTGCACTGCGGATGAGTGATAAGTCTGGGTGCTGATGCCTGGGATAGCAATCAGGAGAGGGCAAGCAAAAGGAAGAGCAGCATTGTGGGTAAATATATGCGCTTCTGGTGGTGATTACCCTCCAAGTAATTAGTTTTTAAATCAGGCAGACGATTCGGGAACTACTCACTATGAGCTGCTTTAATTATTTATACTCCCTTTTATTCTTATTATTTATAGCCATCCTCTTTGCATGGTGATGCTCTCTGGGTCGGGCTGATCAGGTGGAACCAGGACCCAGCTCAGCCAAGCAGCTGTCTCCCCCAGTGCCACCCGTGCCACCAGACACCCCAAGAGTCTGGCTGTGCTGGAGGGTCCTCATCTCCCTCCCATAGCCAGGCAAAAGGGAGAGAGAACCCATCCTTGCTGCGGAAAGCCCTGCTCCAATCGGTAATTAAACTCTCACTCATCTTCATTTCTCTCATTTGTTAAAGTGAGGCCACTCAATAAGCCATTAGTGCAAGGCCCTTTCTGTCGGCTACAGCATCATTACTCAAATTTCCACCCCGAGACAGCTCAGGAGGGTGCGGGCAGGGACAGCATCACCTTCCCTGCCTCCTCTACCCAAACCCTTCCCATCCACACCCCTCCTGGCATGCCCCTGCCCTTCAGCCAAGCTCTGGGGAGAGGGGGAGTGGGATTTTGCAATGGCAAACCCTCCCCCCTGCTGGAGTTTTTCCCATAGCACCACACAAACTCCTGCTCTACCAGAGCATCTGGAGTTGCTGCTCTCCCTTCACCCACCCCACCACTCCAGAACATCTGGAAGCCATTCCCCACGCCATTCCCATGAACAGACCTCCGACCCATGGAACTCCTCCCCTGAGCTAAACAAAAGCCGCCCTTATTGCTGAGCTTGGGAATTCTGCCTGCCTTCCCCTCGCTCCTGCCACAAGCTGTTTCTCAATCTGTCACCTGGAGAGCATCTACCTGGAGAACCCCGGAGCATCCTCTGCCCCATCGTCCTCCATGGGCACGGTCAGATGCGGAGGTAAGCTGCAAAAACCCCAGACACTGGTGCAAGAAAAAACACCACATGGGGAAAAGCTGCCGCAGATTTCTCCAGAAGCAAAGCCCGTGGTCCATGTTTGTAACTACTACATGTTGATTCTTCCCCCCAGCACCCCCCTAAGAGCTTTTGCTCTGGGTCTTGCTCTGGTTACTGTAGTGAGAACACCCTGACCCTCCTCAGCACTGTTTTTCCCCATTTGGCAGAGAACTGTGGGGTGAGGGGTCTCTGAGCTAAAGCAACCACAGAACTGCAGTGTAGCACAAAAAAACCCCAAGGGTATGGCTAGGGACAGGTTTAGCCCTGGCGCAAAGGTGGCCCATCGACAAACTTCACTGCACACCTCACTGGATGCGGTTCAAGACAGGATGATACACTGCGCTGAAACCAGGTGCCAGCGGAAAAGCCAAAGAAAAATGGACATAAGCCTGTCCTGTGCCCTACACACCTGCAAGAATCCAACCCAACTTCCGCCCTGTTGGTTTTGCTTTCATAGTTCCCAAATCCCAGGGGGTTGAGATTGGAAGGGACCTTTGGAAGTCATCTGGTCCAAGCCTGCGCAAGCCCGGACACCTGCAGCCAGTTGTCCCAGACCGTGTCCAGATGGCTTTAGAGTTCAACTGGCTGGGGGGAGGCAAATACAATAGACAAGCAAGACACAGATTAAAACACCAGACTGGATGGTGTCTCATCTGCGACACCAGAAAAACGTTGTTTCCAGGAAGGTGAGTCCTCAAAGTGAAGCCAACTTCCAAGGGCAGCCCTGCAGTCACAAAAGGTTTTGAAGACCACCTGCCTGCAAAGCCAACGCCACATCTGTGCGAGAGGCAAGCTGCTGCCTGCCCTTGAACTCACTGTAGCCCCGAAAATAGCAACACCAGCCACTGCAGTGGAGACGGCTTCAGTTTTTTTTCAGGGACCCACCTGTCTCCCTCGGGATGTGCAAGGACACGGACGCCACGCCAGCTCGACGCCCAAGGTGCTCAGCATCGGCAGCTCCAGAATTTTGTAGAGTAGCTGGTGCAGATATCCGACGTAGGACGAGTTAAGAGGGTTAGGAGTAAATAAACCTTCACCCCAACATGCACAGAGCATAGCAGCTCTGGACTCCCCGTCACCCACGGGGTCCACACAGTAACGATCACACCGTGGCTGGGAATAGACGTTTCCAAACAAGCCTCCTATTTGCATTCGAAACATTTATTTTGGGAAATACATATTAAACACTATTATTTATACAAAAATGGACTAAATTTGTCATAATGCTTATAACCCCCAAAAGGCCATTTTAATAGATCTGGATGAAGGTGTTTTTATTGTATTATTTTCTTTGTTTTTCTTCCAAAAAAAAAACCAACAATCGGGTTACAAAGGAGAAAGCGGCGTGTCTTGCTTGGCCCAGCTTGAGATATCAGCTAGAGGGGAAAAAAAAAGTTTAAGATGACATTTGCAGAAGTGCCTTGCACAAGAGATTTTCTCCCCTTTCATAGTCTTTTTTAACACTTGAAATATATATATTTTTTCAGTGAATACACTTTTTTTGGTTTGTTTTTGCTAAAATATAGCAAGTCAGCAAGTAGATAGTTGTTCTTCGCCAACAGCTCCGTTGTGCTGTTGCCAGGGGGAAACACGAGTAAAGGGGGAAAGCGGATTCTCCTTGCTATGCGCCCCCCCCCACACGCACCCCTCTGGCTGCTGGGGAGGAGGGACAAGTGTGGGGAGCCCCTGCAAACCCTCCACTGAGCAACATCATCTGGGCATCCCCACCAAGATGAGAGCAACTTCCTCCTTCCTCCCGGTCACCTACGCAGAAGGTGGCTCTGTCCCCCGTGGAGACCACTGGGTGGGCTCTGCAGGCACCTTCCAGTGCTAGAGGATGGGACACACTGCCATTTTAGTATGTGCCCCCAAAAAAGGGTGATTTGCAGAAAGTTTTATCCCTTAGAGAGGATATGGAGACCAACAGAGTGGACAACAGAAAGGCAAGCGGCGCTGGGGCACGGGGCAGGACTGCAGAGCTCTGCTCCAGGACCTGTGTCCAGGTCCTGCGTCACGGCGTTATTTAACTGACCCCCCTTGCAGGGCCTTACTTACTGGAGACTCATTGAAAGAGATGGGGTGGGGGAGGAGAGGGTGGGGGCTACAGGGCACAGCACCTGCAAATGCCGCCCCAGCCCTCCCCACGACTGCGGGGCTCGGTCTGCACAGGCACAGTCCCCTTGCACAAGGACTAGCAAAACAGAGGGGCGTGTTACATGTCGTCACACAGCACAGGGGACCCAAAAAATAACAAAAAGTAATTAAAAAATACCCA